CGTCATCCATCGTGTCGTCGTCCTCGTTCTTGTCGTTGTCGCCGTCGCCGTCGCTGTCGCCGCCGCCGCCGCCGCCGTCGTCGTCGTCGTCGTCGTCGTCGTCGTCGCCGTCGCCGTCGCCGTCGCCGTCACCGTCGCCGTCGCCGTCGTCGTCGTCGTCGCCGTCGCCGTCGCCGTCGCCGTCGCCGTCGCCGCCGCCGCCGCCGTCGTCGTCGTCGTCGTCGTCGTCGTCGTCGTCGTCGTCGTCGTCGTCGTCGTCGTCGAAGTCGAAGTCGTGGTCGTCGTCGCCGTCGCCGTCGTCGTCGCCGTCGCCGTCGTCGTCGTCGTCGTCGCCGCCGTCGTCGTCGTCGTCGTCGTCGCCGTCGTCGTCGTCGTCGTCATCGACGTTAGTGTTGTTATTGTCGAACTTGTCATTGTTCTCGTTGTCGTCGTTCTCGTCGTCGTTCTTGTCGTCGCGACTGTCGTCGTGATTGTCGTCGTCACCGTCGTGTTTGTCGTCGTCGCCGTTCCTGTCGTCGGCGCCATCGTCGGCGTCGTCGTTCCAGTCGTTGTGGCTGTCGTTTTCCTCTGTGGGTTGCTTTGAGCAGCTGCAGGGGTCGGGAAGCGCGGCCCGTCGAGATTTCGAGCTCTGCCACACCTGCGGCCGGATAAGCGGAGTTGTAGCGTTCGAGGCAGCGGGCAGGGCCATCTGTAGAGAGCAGGATGTAGAGAGAGAGAGAGAGAAAAGAGAAAGACTGGGTGAGAGTGAAACTGATGGTGAATAAGAGTGGGGTTGTGAGTGAGAGAGGGAGAGAGAGAGAGAGAGAGTGAGTGATGGAGCGCGAGAGAGAGAGAGAGCGAGAGAGCGTGAGAGAGATACATAAACAGAGACAGAGACACTGAGAGGGATAGTTTAGTTGGCCATCGCCCCACGTCGCTCACAACCACGAGGCGAGGTTGACCCCCGTCGAGGGGGCGCCACCCTCGCTTACACATAGCACCCCACAGCAGCGGATAAGAATGAGGGGGCGGCGGGGTCGTCGGCAGTCTGCGAAGCTCTGAAGAAGCCCGCCGCAGGCGCCGATTTTTTCGTCAAAACAACGTGGGTTGGCCGCGGGTGGGTCGCGGGTGGGTTGCAGGGTTGGCTGCGGGGTGGGTCGCGGGGTGGTTGTGTGGTGGATCGCGGGCGGGTCGCCTGCGAGGACGACGACAACGACTCAACAACGCAACGCAACAACGCAACAACAATGCGCACCGCGGAAGCCCACTTCAGCCACGCACCCAGGGACAGGGAATGACCGTTCGCCCCCTTCGCTCAGATCATATACGAATCAGGCGGTACAGAGTGCGCCGCACCGCGCTCAACCTTGATCATACCCGTTGATTGTTGCCAGCTATCTCTCAACGACACCCGCTAGCTGCACGCTCCTACGGTCGGGTACTCTTGGACAACGTGTCGCTCCACCGGTTCTGGCCCACCACGCTTCGGCGCGACACGCCATCCACTTCTGGATCCCCTGGCGTCCACGTTCCGAGCTTTTCCGAGCTTCCCGCCCCACGGAGCGGAGCGACATGCTATCCGCTGGCAGGGCACAGCGTGTCGCCAGGGCCGCAACCGCGACTCCCGACCGTACTTGTTTCGTTCACTCATCTTGCTTCCTATCGGACGCCTCCAAGTGGCTACGACCTGTTTGCAAGGGGCGACTTTCGGACTCTTGCCTCGTGTGAGCTGGGACGCGCATCCAGCACCCTACCGGCACGAGCTCTTACACTTCGCTGCGTCGCCGACTTGTGAAACACTTGCGCAGGTGTCGAGTGCGATCCCCAGGACAGGGCGCCGAAGAGAGGTCGAAGTGGGCCTGGAAGGTCGCACGGCGAGGGCGCTCCCGCCCCTCTGGCGTCGTTTTCCCATCGAGGCGTGGGCCCCCTCGGGAACTCGGCCTCTTCCCTGCGGCCCCCTCCCGCCCATCCCTCGCCCTCCCCTTCCCGAGGCGCTCGAGGACAGCTTTGCGTCGGGCATGCTCCCCTTCAGGAGGAATATTCAAAAATAGTTTAAAGATGGGCTGGGGACGTGTGTTTGATCATTTCTAATTAATTTTGGATTATTTTGGTATTTTTTCTAGCTTTCGCCCAGAATCCGCCTGTAGGAGGACATGCCCGATCTAAGGATAGCTTCTTGAGGCTCGGCGATCGATCCAGGCCTCCAACGACCAGATTTGCTCGCGTCGCCCTGGGGCCGGGTTTTTCATCTTGGGCCGTTTCTCAAGGGCCCCGTGTGGCTCAGAAGCGGCCCCCAGACGCCGACAACGGAGACGCACCCCCGGCGGATGTTGTTCAAGTCGCCATAGGTCCGTCCCCCCGGAGGTCGCCAGTGGTCCCCCGGAGGTCACCCGGAGGTCCCTGGATCTCCAGAGGTTTTTGCTGGAGGTCTGCAGGGTGAGGGTCTCGGGTGGTATCCCGATTTTTTGATGGCTCCCGAAGTCCCCCCAAAGGGCCAAAGAACAGCCGGGCTGACTTCATG